TTCCGGCGGGAAAAACAGGCACCTCGAGGTGAACTGGACAGCTGTATTAAAAAGGGAGTTTTACGTAGCATAGTTGGGTTTTAAGGTTAAAATACTACATTTGGCGACGAGATAAAATGGAAAATCATGGAAAACTAGAAGAATATGACTCACAAGAGGAATGGAGTCAGTATATTGAGCGGTTGGAATTTTATTTCGAAGCAAATGGCGTGGACGACGAAGATAAACAACGAGCGATATTATTGAGTGTTTGTGGTAGCAAGACGTATAAGTTGATTCGGAACTTAACTACGCCAGGAAAACCGTCAGAGAAGACGTTTGCAGAGCTAGTAGAACTTGTACAACAACATCAACACCCAAAACCTTCGGCAATAGTGCAACGATTCAAGTTTAATACTCGATTCAGAAAACCTGGTGACTCAATTGCTTCGTATGTAGCTGAATTAAGAAGTCTTTCAGAACATTGTGATTTCAAGAGTACCTTAGAAGAGATGTTACGTGATCGGTTGGTGTGTGGAATAAATAGAGAGCTTAAGCAAGCGACGTTTTTGATTCACGGACGTCGAGCGGAAATGAATCTGCCGTTTTTGATGGCGTGAGCAGTCCGTGGTGCGAGGTGACAGACGGCAAGTGAACAAGTTTGACGGCGGTGATTTTGTGTCAAAAACGTAAAGGTAAACATTGTTTTTTATTGCTAATTTTTATCTAAAAATCAAATAAATATTATATTTGTTCTAAAAGCAAAATAATTTGACACAATTTAGCTGAATAATAATGACATCCGAGGGAAAACCCCCAGAAACGGAAGTTGAAGTTCAAGGGCAAATCACAGAATAGGAAGTTATACCAGAAGCGTAACTCGAGCAAATATTTGTCCGCGTTTTTACAAGCGATTCGTCATCAATCACGCCATCCTGGCTAGTACAACCGGCACTTTGTACCTACCAAATCCTGATAAAAACTTCCGGCTGTACTAGCCAGGATGGCGTGGCCTGACGTGAGCGAGTTAAAATTTTCGTGGACGTCAAACAATAAGGGAACGACTAGAGTTACGCTTCTGGTATAACTTCCTATTCTGTGGGCAAATGTAAGTGCAAGGTCAAATTATGCTTTGGCTTGTTTGGCGGAATTTGGCGGTATAAACTGCTTGCGGTTTGTAATCGTTTAGCGCTACTCCACTCTAGTTTTCTGATGTGTAAATAATTCATCGTGATTATATGTCTTATATAAATGTGACCTAAATTTTATATGGAAAGGCAATAAACGTGCTTATTTTCTTTTGGGCAATAAGTCTTTGTGTTTATTGAATTTCGTAAAAACAACAACTGAAATAGGAAGCCGAAAGGTGAGTATATAAAGTTGATTAAATTGTGTGTATTTACTTTGCTGTTTTGGTCGTTTTGCTTTAGTAACTCTCCTATGGAATGGACCAAAAGACACGATACGATGCTCTTCAGAGAGGTTTTGGTAGTCAATCCATATCAAGCCAAAAAGAAAACTGTCCAGCGAGGGCAACTTTGGCAAACAGTGGCTGCCAACCTGGTGCAACTGGAAGAGCCTGTGTTCAAGCGTTCGTTGTCGAAGCGTTCAGTTCAAGATCGTTGCACTCTCTTGTGTGAAAAGCACAAGAAGAGAATGAAGTATGAGATGAAAGCGTCGGGGATATCGCCACAAGTGACGGAATTGGATAATTTGATAGAGGAGACGTTAGAGAAAGAGGAGGCGAGCGAAGAGTTGAGGGCAACACAAGGTATACATTACATATCCATAAATACCATAGAATATCATTGATTTATTTTAAGAATTTTATAATTATAATGGGGAATTTAACCTAGACATACTGAAAAGTTGAGGGTGGGAGCAAAGGCATAAACCACTGTCATTTTTTTAGGTGAAGCACAGAAAAAGAAAGTTGAGCAAGATCAGAGAAATGCTGTGGATATTCGAAAGAAGGCAATGGAAAGGTTTGGAGAGACAAAGAAAAGAAAAATTGATGAGGGAGAAATTGAAGAGAAGAAGAGAAAGCGAAGAAGGTCAGGATCTGATACGTTGCAGTTTGTAATGGAACAGTCGGAAAATGAAATGAATATGAGGGAGAAGGAACTGGTATTAGAAAAGGAGAAACAAACAAGAGAGGAGCAGAGGCACAACGATTTCAAAGAGATGATGGCACAGCAGATGGCTCAACAGCAACAGCAAATGGCCCAGTTCCAGATTATATTCATGCAACAAAACAATTTAATGCTGTCAATTCTTGAGAAAAAGTAATAACATTTTAATTTTCACATTTCAGTACTGAATAATATGAACCTCCCTTATATAATTTAAGTTTAACATGTTAAAACATTATTTTAGGCAGCAGTTCCCATGGTCACAACATCAACTTACCTGTAGTTTGGTCATGCCTGTCATAGTTAAATTACAGATTATCAGCTTATATTCAAAAACCTCACATATTTTATCATAATTTAAAGTGAGAATGCACCTTAAAATGTCAAGTTAATGTTGTGACCATGCTGTATTCTATATTTCACATTACATGTTATGTCTACATGATACCACAGAATACTATACAGAAGTCCATCTCCATTGTTTTTTGCATAAGCGCTATTCGTCATAATTCACCACTCAGCAAGTGCTGTAAACAGAAGCAGTCACCCCCTGGAAATAAAATGGCACGCATCCAGGGGGTGGCTGCTTCTGTTTACAGTACTTGCTGAGTGATGAATCATGACAAATAGGGCTTAAAGATAGGGTACAGTCCGGTCTGCACATGCACACATAAGATTCTCCTGCCATGATATAAACATTTTAATTAGGTTTTTATTCAATTAGATGTCTTGCAAAGGCTGATTGTTGTATCTTGATAATTTATTATACTGTAAAGCATGAAAATATAAATAGTTGTCGAATATAGTTCAATTTTTTGAATACAGAAATGTAAACAAAGCTTTGGTAAATGTAAACAGGCTTTGTTTATGTACATACAGTACCTTACCTGGCTACCCTTAATTTAAGGTAAAAACAGTGGAGATGGCCTTCTGTATAGTATTCTGTGGCTTGGGCCTAGTTTAACTTTTGTTGATTATTTGAACAATTTCAATCATTATAAAAATAAAAAGTTAGAATCAAGCAAAGTATTCTACAATTGATGGGGTGTCTAAGTCAAAAAATTTCGAGGTTTGGTTTCCATAAAAACATGACAGGGCATTTTGAATAACAGCAGAAACCAAATACATCTTCCCAACACAGCTGAGACCAAGCTTTAAATTGCTTTTAAAGTCAAGACACCTGAATGATCTAGTGACCTCACCAAATGCCCATTCCACAGTCACACGAACAGTGCTCATTGACCTGTTGAACTCTTGCATGGCTGGGGTCATCAACACATCCCTGAATGGTGCCTGTAGGTGGACTCGCAGAGGGTAGGCAGGGTCTCCATAAATACACATCGGTTCTCCATCAGGTGAGTAAGCATGCTGTTCCAAGTAGTTCAACAGGTTCGAGTCAGCCAGCATTCCAGCATCATGTCTTTTGCCCTCTGTTAATTAAAAATTAAAATAAATGTTACATGTAGGATTCTCTCCTAAATCACAAAAAATTTCAACCCGGGTAACATGGCTGAGTTCAACTCCTGGATTGAAAGTGCCCATGTATAAATTGCCCCTTTAATAGATATATTTTAAACTCATGCAATACTTGGATGTAAAATAATATGTTATATATGATATACATACCAATTGGACCAAACATATTAGCAATTATTCCATTAGGCAACGTAACCGACTGAAATTTAATAGCATGAGTCCGTTTGTGGCCATTATATACCGTACGCTGGTGCTTTATTGGTCTACATAGAGGTCGAACGGTACCATCGACAAACCCGAAACAATTCGTCAACGCTGCGCCTTTCGTATGGATTTTGTCGGCGTAAATTTGCAGATTCTCCGGGCTTAAAAGTCGTTCATTCCATTCAGTAATTCTGTGTGCGTGGTGTTCGTAGATAAAATCTATAACCTCGTTTGTTATCATGCTCAATTCAGCGACTGGCCTACCAAACATCGCAATCATATCGGCGTACCGACAGGGGAAAGCCAGCCGACGTAAAAGTATGCACAACCCTTCGAGTTTTCTTGCCGTTGTTCTTTGGTAGCACTGGAATCGATCGGGTAAACCCAAAGCATCTGCCAACAGGGGAATATCGTCCTTGTCAAATCTGAAGTTTGATCGACATTCCGGTTCAGGTATCGTTGCAAGATCAAACCTTTCGTATTGAAGGTAGTCAAACTCCGGATTTTGCGAAATGTTTTCTTCCAGCAGGACGAGAAGCTGTTCGGCCGTGATTTGTTTGTTGTAGAAACTAAATAGCAGCAAGTCTCGAGCTTGTTTAAACGAAGTCATTTCGATAATACAACGAAAAGCTTGATAAAAAAACAAACACAAGTACATTGCTTGCGTGCGCTTTCGTGATACGTTTTTGATGAGGTTTTTGTTTACTTACGTTATTGCTTAATGTACAAAATTGCAACAAAAACGCCGTACTCGATCCAGTCCTTTCAGGGCTGACGTGACGTCCGTGTTGTCAAAAACGTCGCTTGCTTAAGCTCTCTAATGACGAACAGATTCAGCGTAGATTGTTAGCAGAAAGTTCTCTCGACTTTAAGAAAGCCATGAAAATAGCTACATCAATGGAGACGGCAGTAAAGAATACACGAGATTTAACACATCAGATGGCCAATGCAAATATAAATACTGAGAAACCTGCAACATTACACCGTGTGGACCACCAAAGACAAGGAAACCAACAATGATCAAAGCCTGAATGTGGCCGGTGTGGGGGTAATCATGACCCTCAACAATGCAAATTTTGCGATGCTGAGTGTTTCCTGTGCCACAAGAAAGGACACATAGCAAGAAAATGTCGAAGCAACACTAAGGCGACTGAAAAAAATCAGCGAAACGACAACCCTAAATCAGGCACTAGCAGCAATTATTTAAACATGAAGGATGACGAGATCGAAGAGGAAGATGACAACTATTGGATTTATAGTCTGGGCAAAGAGCAAGCTGAGCCATATGTTGTTGATGTACTGGTGAGCAATGAAAGTCTAAAGATAGAAGTAGATACTGGTGCTGCAGTTAGTGTAATGAATGAGGATACATATACATTATTGAAGAAAAAACACCCAAACCTAGAGCTAAAGGAATCAAAGGTAAGACTAAATACCTATACGGGAGAGCAAGTTAAAGTGTTGGGTCAAGTGGAGACATCGGTGAAGTATGAAGATCAAGAAGGCATATGGCCTTTACTAGTCATAACAGGGAAGGGCTCCAACTTGATTGGCAGAAATTGGCTCCAAAAGATTAAAATAAATTGGAAGAATTTATTTCAGTTAAAAGAGGACAAGAATACCTCAGTCAAAGTTAATAAGTTACTTGAGAAGTATGAGGAAGTGTTTCATGAAGAGTTAGGAACATTTTCTGGTCCCAAAGCCAAAATATATGTGGCTGATGATGCAAGTCCAAAGTATTACAAGGCAAGACCTGTTGCCTATGCATTGAGGGAAAAAGTAGAAAAGTAGTTAGAAAGTTTGCATGAAGAAGGAACTATAGAGCCTGTCCAGTTTGCAGATTGGGCAGCGCCAATAGTACCAATCGTTAAGGATGATAAGTCGATAAGAATTTGTGCTGATTATAAAGTAACTGTCAACCAAGCTGCAAAGTTAGACAATTACCCCATTCCCAAGGCAGAAGATCTTTTTGCCACTTTAAGTGGTGGAGAGAAATTCACCAAGCTGGACATGAGTCAAGCCTATCAACAAATCTTATTGGAGAAAAATATACTACAATCAACACACACAAAGGACTTTTTCAGTACAATTGATTGCCATATGGAGTGTCCTCGTCCTCTGGGATTTTCCAGCGTACTATGGAAAACCTACTGCAAGGGATTCCTTTCGTGGTTGTGCGAGTGGATGACATTTTGGTCTCTGGTTCGAATGACGAGGAACATTAAGCAAATTTAGAAGAGGTTCTAAAACGGTTGTCAGAGCATGGGTTACGCCTAAAGAAAAAGAAGTGTGCCTTCATGGTGAACGAGGTGGTGTATTTAGGCCAGAAGATAAATAGCCAAGGAATACAACCAAGAGAAAGTCAGAGCCATCACCGATGCACCGGCACCGACAAATGTGTCTGAAGTTCGATCATACTTGGGAATGATCAACTGTTACCAAAAGTATTTACCAAATTTATCAACGATTCTGGCATCACTGCACAGCCTGTTGGAAAAAGGGAAAAGCTGGAAATGGAGTGAAGAGCACCAAGAGGCATTTAGAAAATCCAAAGAGTTATTGAAGTCCTCACATCTATTGGTGCATTATGACCCGGAGAAGGAGTTAATACTGGCTTGCGATGCCTCACCATATGGCTTGGGGGCTGTTTTGTCACAGGAGGCCCAGGCTCGATTTGCCCGCGCCCGCCTGTGCCTTCCTTATAACGAGGGAAGGAAGGAAACATTGAGACCAAAATAGCCCAGACTTGGCATATGTCATACGAAACTATCCTCGATTTTTCGCCTTTAATGCATTTCTTTCACGATTAATCGACATCCCCTGCAAGAATGATACCGTATAACTCTCAAAACAACGATGCTTTAATCAAAGAGCTTAAATTCGCTCTGAAATCCGTGAGGGAATAACAAAATTCGGCCAAAATATATCCGCGTGCCGGGTTTGCTGGACAAAAAAGCGGAAGTCGTTGAACAACTCAAAATACACTCAACCCTGATTGGACGACGAATATCTACAAACATTTCAAATTTTCTGTAGTCAGTAATGTAATATAAATTTGAACCAAAACAATTAACAAATTTGTCGGGGGAAAACCAGTGCAAATCTAATTATTTAAATTTAAGAAGTTTAGTCAGTAAATACGGATTGTAATTTACCCTATTTGACAACATGTTTCAGCGTAAAATTATAGTTATATTTGCAGTTATATTTACAGTAACACATATAAATATATAATCGACTTGTAGTAGACTTTATAACGTTTGTGAATTGTTTTTAATCCAAATAATCAAATTATTACAGTACTGTTCCAAGTACTGTCTCCCCTCCCAGTGGAGAAAAATTTGAAATGTTTGTTGATATTCGTCGTCCAATCAGGGTTGAGTGTATTTTGAGTTGTTCAACGACTTCCGCTTTTTGTCCAGCAAACCCGGCAC